TTTCTCGTCGTTGAGGGTGAGGGACAGTCCTGGCCACCCCCTTAGTCATATTTTGTCTTCGTAGTACTCGGAACGACCCAAAGTCTGATGATAAAATATCTCTTAGCGAGTGGCGATGAGAATTGCATTTGTGAAACAGTCTCCTATCTATCTTCTTCTGTATAACTGAAATCCGTGTTGTCGTCAAGGCGAAGTATAGAGGAAGCATCGGTGTAGAGATCCCAAACACTGTTCATAGACTACGCACCCAGAATGTCTATCCACACTACCACAAAATTCGAGATAGCACGTGATTGGGACGAGAATGATCTATACATTGATATCTAACAATAATTGAAACTCGAAAGAAGAAGAAAAAGTCTATCGATCTATCTGCAATGCTTTTCTTGTCCGGCAGGGTCAAAGGCAACCAACCCTCCTCTCTATCTATTTATACATTTGTCCGATGCTTCGAACGATATCAATAACATGCCAGACAACACGAACGGGAACTGCAGCTTGATGCTTCACACATCTTGCGGTTTCGAGGGCTTCAAAATGATTTGGCGATCTCGACCACGCACTACGCACCTTCCCAGTCTAGTAGCTTGCCTTGATGAGGTCGGAAGCCCTCTCAGCAACAGCATACAGAGTGCTGGTCAAGTGCCCGCAGAGCTGGAAGGGGAGGACGGAGGCATCGACCACGCGGAGGTTGCGGGTGCCGTAGACCTTGAGATCGGGGCTGACGACGCCGCCCTTCTCGCGGGGCAGCATGCTGTTCGTGCCGACGGGGTGGTAGTTGGTTCGGTCTGATTTCATAGTAAAGTTAGCGGTGATGCTGCAGGGGATGCTTATCGCTGTTCAAAAGACGGGGGGGGAGTAGGGAAACCTTACAGGTCGACTCGATCCACTTGGTCCACGTCGCGCTGGATGCATTGGCCGGAAGCACCTCGAGGCCCGGGGAGACCTCCTCGCCCACCAGCCCGCTCAGCGGAGCCGTGGCCAGCGCCTTGCGGATGTACTGCGCCACCGTGATCTGCGCCTCGGCGTCCTGGGCGAACATGAAGTAGTTGGGGTTGATGGCCGGGAGGTCGGAGGCGTTCGCGGACTGGATGTGGACGCTGCCGCGGGAGAACGGGAGTAGGGGCCAGTACTCGATGGCGAACGACTGCCCGCTGGGGGAGAAGACGACCTCCGTGTAGGGCACCTGGTCCTCGAAGATCAGGTCGTACTGGCGCCCGAACGCCTCCAGGAGGTTGGCGGCCTGGACAGCCGCGTGCGAGGCGTTGGCGACGGTCTGGGCGTAGCTGGCGAGCTGCGACTTGACATAGGTGGCCAGGGCCGTGGCGTTGTCCTCGCCGTAAAGCTGGTTCACCGAGGGCAGGACGGAGAAGGTGGCCAGGCCGGTCAGCGTGTCGACGCCGTCCCAGGTGAGGGCGTTGTTGGTCTGGTCCTGCAGGTTCTCGCCGACGGTGGGCAGGTTGACCTTGACGGGGATGTTGTGCTTGCTGAGAAGGGCCGGGTTGCCCACGCCCGACAGCTCGAGGATGGCGGGCGAGCGCAGCGCACCGGCCGACAGGATGACCTCCTTGTCGGCGTAAATCGTTTGCGTGCCGTATTCGTTGGTGATCTCGACGCCCACGGCAACGGCCTCCTCGCCTTGGGTGTGGTTGGCCCAGATGACCCTGTTCGCGCGCGTGTTGGAGATGATCTTCAAGTTCGAGCGGGCTTCGTAGGGCCAGTAGTAGGCGCGGGCGGCGTCTTCGCGAACGTTCATCTCCCGGTCCAGGGTGTCAGGGTGGACGGTGAATCCGACCATCTGGCCTCCCTCCGAGTCTGAGTTGTACTCAACGCCCAGCTCCGCAAAGGTCTGTTCCAGGACGGAGAAGACGCTGCTGTTGGTCATGGAGGTGGGCCAGCCGACCTTCAGAGGGCCGTGCAGGCCATGATAGCTGGCGTTGTAACTGGCTCCATGGGCAATCTGGTCCTTGGTGGGCACCTGGAAGCCCTCCGACTTTTTGTAGTATTGCAACAGGGTCTCCCAGTTCCAACCCTCGTTTCCGAACTTTTCCCAGAGATCGATCTGCACGTCCTGGGCCCGAGTATAGGACATTCCTAGGCGAGGGAGTTGGTCAGTACATAACGTTGTTCCTGTTCTTCTTGACTTGTGTCAGTTTTGAAGAAGATAGAACCTACCATTGATGGTGCTAGTGCCACCCAGAGCCTTTCCCGCACGAATGGTTTGCTGCAGGCCTCCTGCGTAGGTTTGGTTCTCAGTCTGGTAGGCCCAGTCGACCTGGGTTCCGAATGCGGTGCTGTAGCCCATAACATTCGACACGTTGAAGTTGTTCAAGGCGGACTCGCCGGCTTCGATGACCGCCACCGTGACATTGCTCATCTCCGAGAGGCGGTTGGCCACCACCAAGCCACTGGTGCCACCACCGACAATGACAAAATCATAGTGAGCGGGCAAGCCAGCATGGCTTTTGGCGGCTGCGCCGCCTAGCGAGAAAGCCGCAAGAGCAACAGAGGGAAGAAGCATCCTGGCGGTAGATTGAAGTAATGATAGACACACAGCACGATCAGATGTCAAGGTCTGCACGTCTCTTTATACACGAACCCCCAAGACCAATTACGTGCCTAACATGCACAAAGCACCTTATCGAACTCATCTGCAGGCACCACCTCCGAAATGCCATCCTGCACGCTTGGTAAGACTGACCATTTGCTGAATCAAGCCTTAACAACCTCAACCGCACGGGACGCCCCGTATAAGAGTGGAGCCTGGGCATGATACCTAGCCAATCTAACGTCTGCTGCCGTGATTGCTCATCCTGACAGACTGAGTTACGAATTCCTTAGTCAAAGATTAATCACTCAGGGTCTCCGGGCCAAGACGGGATGCCGGTGTGAATCCGGCACGGCATGCCGATTTCTCGGGCACTCACAAGACCCACCACGCATATACACATCACACACATGATTTACTAGAATCAATATTTAATCAACCTAGTAAACACACTGGTTCAAAGCATAGATAGAACTCCGTATACTATTTAGCTCCGTTGGGGCAATACATAAGTCTAGAACAGCTTAACAAGTATAGTAGCGAGCGGTTTATGCCACTTGCATATTCTTTTTCCATAGTACCCGTAACGGAGCAGGAACAGTACTGTATGTACTTTCGCTGGAAAAGTCCCTCACACGGAAACGGGGGGGGTGCGCTTTATTTCAATTTTCTTTTCTAGTCTTCTGGAAGAAGGTAAATCTCAGAAAGCATCAAATCTAAACTAGACCCCACTTCCTGGTCATGATAGACCTATCCTCTTGACAACAGAGTACCACAGCAATACACAAGGATGGCAGACCACGTAAAGTATAAGACAATCTGAGAATTCCTTAAATAATCTGACATGTGTATTCAGCGATGCTCTCTGAAACATCAAGTTTCGGCCTGACCAGTCCGGAAAACACCGGATAAAATAGATTGGTAAGGTAGTGCGTAGGGGAGTGAGGGCTCTAGAAACCGGCTTAGCCAATCCTCCCTCTCCTTTTTGTTCTTCCTTGTTGGTTTTCGGTGGAACTGGGACAAAGAAGATTCTCGAACAGTGCAATCCTCCGGAGTGGACGGCGCTATCGCGTACATTTAGACATTACGATATCGGATCGGAGCGTCCTTGCGTACCATGCTGATCGGTAAATAGCTATGGTCTCCAGGGGGGGGGGGGCTAGCCCCAAGCAGCATCTTTCTGCAGAGGTATATGTATCCTAGCAGGAGTTCCACTTCGGTCCCTCGATGCAATCCACTTTTATCACCACGTATCGCTTCTTGAGCTTCAGTATGCCTGTCCACGTGGTTGCCGAGTTCCGCTTGAAAGAGTGTTTCCTTGGTGCCTCACTGTAGTAAGAAAATGGCCCACGATAGACCGTTATAGCCGTCGCCATTTCGGTCAAGAAGGCGACGGTCCAGGCTCTCGTGCGCATTGCGCGAACGGTGGAGGACTTCGGGGGCAAGAGATGTGATATACCACCACTCCATGCCCCTCTTCGTTGGCCCACGATAGCTGCGAGGTTGTGTCTGCCCGGCCATCCCGCCAAGTTAATACCATCGCTAAGCAGGAGAGATTGGTGAGCGAGGGGAACAGCTAACTGATGACTTTGTTCTATATAAGGCTTTAACTATCAATATGAATCTTCATTTTAAACTGGTTTGATTTTCCTAGGTACCTTATATGTGTATAGCTGTCTTGATTGAACCAGAAACGATAAATTCGGACACAACGGTGAGATTATACTCTACTAAGGATGGCTTAAGACGGTGAGTTTCTTGGTCCTATTGTCGGTAAACTTGTCAAAAAGACCTTTATAATCTTATAAACAGGAACTATGTCGTGATTTCTTGCTAAACATTATTTTGTTCTGTTGATCGAGTATTATTTGCAGCTAGATAGTTAGAAGAAGCAGAGGCTTCCATATAAACAGTCATGCAGGAAAGGTTCCATATAGGTAACAACACTGGCCCGCAGATAGGTAGTTTATGTTCGGAATGGTAGTGCAGACGTGCTACCATACAGCTCATGAGAACCTTCGAGATCTAATCAATTGAGACTACCTAGGTGCATTCCAGCGTGCTCGACCACAGGTTTGTCTGCCACGGCCCGAAGCATCAGGCTCTCAGCTGCTTGAGCGATGATTGAGTGATTGTCGGGTGACTTCCTGGCCGTCCTGACACACCCTGGCGCACTCTAATCTAGCTGCAAAGAAAGCGGTCGTGACCCCTATTACCGCTGCCCATGAGCATACCACTTCACGGCCAACCCGGAGTGCGAAGGACTAAGTAATTGGGCTGAGTGGAAGAACAAGGAGTCAAACGCAAGCGAAAAAGACTCGACCGAGTCCATGTATGTACAAACGCAACTCTATCCGGGTGTCCGGAAGTCAAAGGGACGATCCTACATATCCCTCCACCACTTGAATACGCTAGCAGCCTGAGTAGTGAATTCATCCTTATCAGAGAAGGATCAGGAGTTGGAATTATCCGCGCAAGTCCAAGGTTTTGTGCCACCGTCCGCTCTCAGGGAGTCAATGATGCTGACGATCGACCCGTAGGTGCCGGCCACGGTCATGAAACAGCCGACCACGATGATCAACCCACTCCAGGTGGCCAAGAGCATCCATCTCCCGCTGCGGCTGCGCGAGTGCCAATTGTCGTAGAACCACATACATCCCGTCGGCTGGTATGCGAGGAAGGTCCCCAGCAGTGCACCGATGAGCGAGACGAGATCATTGAAGAACGGGATGCCGCTGGCAATCAGGTACGCAATGATGGACGCTCCCAGGGTGCACGCGAGCCAGGTACACCAGTGAACCACGGAGTTCGAGGTGAGGTGCCTCGAACCACGAAGGAGACGAACGAAGATGTACTTGCTTGGTAGCTAGGGTTTCTGTTAGTGGCACGAGTCCGAGCCACGGCGTGGATCCGACTCACATGTAGCACAATGGTGGTGGAAGCCAGGAGACCTGGCAATGCAATCCCATAGGCTATTTTCTTGATGAGCGGGCCCGCGGACCCGAGGGCGGGCGAGGAGACGTAGGAGCCACAGTAGTAGTACACCACTATCCCAACCACCAGATAGAGAACGGTGGAGCAGGTCTGACTGACAACCAGTGCGCGAGTGAAAAAGCGGGGGTCGCGCATCTCGGCGGCGAGTTGGAAATAGGCCGGCGTGGCGGAGCAGGCGAAAATCAGGGAGGAGACGGCCGATACCCCATCAGTAAATGAGGGCGAGTTGGTCACTCTGTAGTCCGAGGTCCAAGGGCCAACCTGGGGCGCCAAAGAAGGCCGGTCCTGAATGCCGACGCTGATGGTCACCAGAAGAACTCAAGGAACGGTCAGTATGTGATACAGTACAAGTCCCAGGGGAGGGGTAAACTCCGGGTTCGACTCACCTGCGACGAGAATGCAGGCCAATCCTAGCCATGCTAACCAACTAATCTTGCCCAGGGTGCGAATGCTGGCTAAGAAGAATCCAGCAATAGCAGCGACCACGACAAAGATCGCGGTGCAGGCTCCGTGGGAGGAAACCGCGTTTAAACCTATGCTGACGCCGAGGATCCCAGATCCAGCAACGAAGATCCAATCTTGGTCACAGTCAGTCCTCAACCAGCTGGTCCGCTAGACAATGGATGACCTTACATAGGCAGAATGCAACAGCAAAGACCTCGCGGCCAACCGGCCCAAACATCAAGCCGCACGCATCGTCCATCCCGTAGACCTCGCGATGGTTGAGCTTAAAAACACCCACTACATAGCTGGTCCAGGTAGCGATTCCAGCGACCACACAGAGGATTATGGCTCCCGGAACAAGGCCAAGTGTGTCGAATACTGCGGGGATGGAGAGAACCCCCAGGCCAATCTGGGTTTTCAGCATCAAGGCAACGGTCCCAAGCCATCCCACCTAACCACGTTCAATTCAGTGAGTGAGCTTCAGGAGGTCTTGTTCTGACGGAACTCACGCTACGATAATTGGGTCCACCCTCAGTCACTTCACCAAAAACGGCATCATGGGTACTGCTCACGTGTTTGAGCACACTGCCTTCCTGCAGCGCTTCGTGGGCGGCCGCAGGATCAAATGATTCAATGTCATCTGGAGTCCTGATTTTCTTCTCGGCCATGGTCGAGATATTCTTTTGAAAGATAGATGAGTTCTGGTAAGGACAAAATGGTCAATGCTCGCACATTCCGAATTGATGACCCTACAGTACATCAACGGAAGGTAGTGGGAAGTATCCGACGTCTCTTATAGATGAGCTTGCCCCGCGGGGGCATGGTCCACAGTCCATGATAAGGCCCACCTGGCTAAGAGCTAGCCACCCCACAACCGGGATTGGAGCAGATAACCCGGCTGGGTGTTATCGCAGAGGGCAGCCCGAGCCTCCGCAAATCCTGACTAAAGATAAACCGAAACCTTTTCGCGATTGCCTGCTTCGTTGTCTGTCTCTGAATATCTGACCGTTCCCTATCACCGGGCCCCGTTTACGTGGCAACCAAGTCGAGTCCAGCCTCTTGCCAGCTGCCAGGACTAAATCCTTCGTCGGCTCCTGCATGTCACGCCTCATGGAGAAGGCGCCGAAAACACAGATACCGCAGAGGATGTGCTGAAGATGTGCTGGATTGGGAGAGTATCGTGTATTACGTCGATGTAATCTATCTACGAGGTCCTATGCGTTCAGAAACGTGGTGCATTCCTGGCTTTCACTGGGATTGGCATTTAGTCATTCATGCCTACCAACTAAAAGACTTTGAAATTCAATCATCCTCATAGGTTGCCTGTTGCTCAGAGGGGCCCCTTCTACCCCTACATCCCTTCCCGCCACAGCCACCAGAGTATGCCATAGTGATGCGACCAATTTGATCTCAACCTCTGCGTCGAAGGGCAAGCACGCGACACGACCAGACGTACGACACCAACAGTCCAATTCGGTCATTCTTCGCATGGACCCGACTACTCGATATCCTACCAGGTTCACAGCATGGGTAAAGACCTGACCATATAATTCACCTTGGCACAATGAGCCATGCTGGGGGGGAAAATGGTGACGTTGACCACTTTGCCCATGCCACTTCCGCCGGCGATCAAGACCTGCTCAAGGTTTCCCAGGGCTTGCTTGCCCCCTTTCTGTTTTCTTGCTAGGAGGGGTATGCAATTTCCTCGTGTGCGGCTGGGGTGGCTGAAAACCCAAACTGGATGGATGACCTTTGACTTACCGTCCAGTCTGAGGCGTCGCCACCGACAAACTCCAGAACAGTATCCCATCCCGTTGGAGATGAGGTCCTGTGGCATCAACCGGCTTGGGGCGAAGCATCCTGGCTGACCACCGCACCATCCAAGGAGGACATATTTCCGGTTGGCGGTGATCTACAGACTTTTGGTTCGTTGTCGCGCGAAGAACTCTTTATATGGCAAAAAGAAAAAGCAAAATCATGCATTGCAAGAGAAAGAAATTCGTCCCAAGTTGATTCCGGTGAGAGCTGGCTAGATACCTCCATCGGTTCTTCGTTTGGGGGGCCGTGGATTGTGTTGTGTGGTGGATGTGGAGAGGGGGCAAGCTACAGCGAGACAATTCCGATTGCGATGCGTATGGCGGAAGATGGTCACGGCAATGACCCAGTAACAGCTCTGGCAACATGATAAGTTCTAGGAAGTTTCCGCTGTTACAAACCTCCTGTATTTGGGGCCATCGAATGGGTTAAGGTTGGGACTGGGGAACGTTGAAGAGGAGGTCAGCCACTTGCGTGATGACGATTATCAAGACTGATCGATCAATTGGTTTCAAAAATGGCCATGCTACTGCTATGGAGGACTAGTAAATTCCCAAAGACAACTTGTACACGAGTCTCTACGAGTCAGTCAAGGGAATTCATTCTTACGGAAGGGTTTGACCCACTCGCTTGTGGGGGACGCTGTGGGGCAACCCGATATCATGGATTCATAGATGGATTCATAGATGGGAAGGTCACAGCGTGAACAGGACTCAACCTAATCAATCAGAGGTGGGGGAAATAGATCGGCTGGGAACGGCTCTCCGATTCGCTGGCCCGCTAACGGTACCCCGCTGATCACCTCCTGTAACTGTATGTTCTGTACTGCATCTCATGGATGCACATCCGACTCCATCCTCCCTCCCCATCCCGAGGATCCTAGGGCTAATCTGTACGCCCACCAGCTGTCACCATCACCCATATGCATCTTGTCTCTTCATAAGAATCGACATAGCATACATACATTGGCTCTAAAATACCTCCGTCAAATATCGGCGTGGCCTCAGTCACCCATCACCCGTAACACCCTCCTAGTGCCAGCGTCAAGGTTCCCCAGAAATGCCATAGAGATGATCGTCACCTCTTCCCCTTCCGGAAAGTCATAGCACCGCTCGGTGCACGACATGGATGTTCCCCGTGACCAGGGTCTTGGTCTCGAGGTAGTCCTCAATCCCATATTTGCTCCCCTCGCGACCCATCCCGGAATGCTTGATTCCGCCAAACCTAGCCCAACCGTCAGCAAGGATCACAAACCCACCGACAAAGCGTCTAAGGAAGGGGGAAGTGGCACAAGGGAAAACCTCGGACGTACGGGCTTGCAGCATCCGATATGATCCCGGTATTGACCGCCACCATGCCGAATTGCAGGAGTTCGGCGACGCGGCTGGCGCGGGTGACGTCTTGGGTGAAGAGGTAGGAAGCCAGCCCGACCTCGCAAGCATTGGACGCCGCGATGACCTCTTCCTCGCGGTCGAAGGCGAAGATCGGTGCGACCGGGCCGAAGATCTCGTCCGTGACCACGGACATGTCGGCGGTGACGTTGGTGAGGATGGTGGGCTCGTAGAAGTTGGGGCCTACGATTGCGAGAACATCAGCCCGAGGTCGGTCGGTCTCCGAAGCCAGCCAGCCAGCCAGCCAGCTTACTTACCCAAGTCCAGCCGCTTCTTCCCACCCATCTCGACGCTCGCCCCGCGCCGGACGGCGTCCTCCACCAGGCCCGCCACTCGGTCGACGGCGGCGGCCGTCACCAGCGGGCCATGCGTAGTCTTGCGGTCGAACCCATTCCCCACGCGGAATCGAGCCACCGCGTCCTTGAGCCGTCGCAGGAACGCGGGGTAGATGCCCTTCTGGACAAAGAGCCGGTTCGAGCACACGCACGTCTGCCCGGACGACTTGAACTTGCTCGCGAGGGCGGCGTCCACGGCCAGGTCCAGGTCCGCGTCGTCGAACACGATGAACGGCGCGTTCCCCCCCAGCTCCAGGCTGAGCTTCTTCACCGAGTCGCTGGACTGGCGCATGAGCAGCTTTCCGACCCGCGTCGAGCCCGTGAAGGAGATCTTGCGCACGGTGGTGGACGCGCACAGGGCCTGGCCGATCTCCGCGGTGTTGGCCAGCGCGGTGACGCTGTTGACGACGCCGGCGGGGATCCCGGCTTGCGCCCCGAGTCGGATCAGCGCATTCGCGGTAAACGGGGTCTCGCCGGCCGTCTTGACCACCACCGTGCAGCCCGCGGCGAGGGCGGGGCCCAGCTTCCTCGTGATCATGGCCGCCGGGAAGTTCCAACTAAGAAGGGAGACCAGTCAGTTTGCGGGGGTGGAACTCGGCCATGTAGCAGAAACTAGGTATGCAGGCAAGACCCACGGGGTGATGAGGCCACAAACGCCCACGGGCTCCTTGATCACCGCGACCCGAAAGCCCGGCTGGCTATGGGGCAGCACGTCGCCATAGATCCGTGCCGCCTCCTCCGCGAACCATTCCAGGAAGCTGGCGGCGAACAGGACCTCGCCGGCCGCATCGGGCGTGGCCTTGCCGTTCTCCCAGGTGATGAGCGTGGCCAGATCCTGCTGATTCTCCATCACCAACTCGTACCACCGCCGCAGGATCCGACCCCGGTTGCGACCCGTCCTGGATCGCCAGGCGGGCAGGGCGGCCGCTGCTGCGTCAATGGCCTTGTGGGCATCGGTCGAGTCGGATTCGGGGCACGTTCCGATCGTGTTGCCGTTCGCGGGGTCTAAGGGGGGAGCCGTGGCTCAGGGTCGGTCCAACCGCGCGACCAATTTGGAATCAAGCGGGTTCTGCACTGACCTGTAACCTGAAAACGCCGTCCGGACGCGGCCTCCAGCCATGTGCCGTTGATATAGTTTTGGCCGATGAGAAGGGACGGATTGTTCAGGCGAGGGGGGGCGGCGGCGGTGGCAGCGGCCATGTTTGCTTGCCGTAGGGTTCTGGGAATCACGAGGTTGAGTTCACTGAATGGTTATCTTGCACGAGGAGCGTCTTATCATGATAATCTTTGTCTACATAATTTCGGGGTCTGGTGTATTTTTAAATCCCAGGAGTACATGATACCCTGGTTGCTTGGGGTAAGTGACAGCGACGACGGACTGCATGCGGGGAAAGCCCTAGTAAGTTGTTGCTGTTAGTGGGGCATCAGCGCCGGTAAGAAGCAAGCGACAGCGCGCCAGAACGAGCTCGGAGCTTGCTGGTGCTTGCTGGTGCTTGCTGGTGCTTGCTGGTGCTTGCTGATGCCAGTTGCATGATCATAGTTAGGGTTATGAGTATGGTTATATAGAGGGGTGTTGACTGGTTCCAAGGTTGTAGGTTCTGCATCTGCATGCTCTTGCCCCTTTCCCCCTTCCCTCATCCCCTTGCCCTCATTCACTCAACCATTTTCTCTCGGTTCACCTGTTCACCTGCTCATCACCACCTCGCCACCATGTCCAAGGTCCAGACGGTGGATCTTTCCAACACCACCGGAGCCTACTATGCGCCCGCCACGATTTCCCCCGCAGGCCAGATGATCCACGTCACCGGCCAACCGGGGACGACCAAGGACGGCGTTGCGCCGCCCGACTACGAATCCCAGATCCATCTGGCCCTGCTGAACCTGCGCAAGATCATCATTGCCGCCGGATCCGCGGTCCGCCACATCGTCAAGCTCAACCTCTTCATTGTCAACTACGACGCGGCCAACCGCAAGCATACCCGCCACGTCGAGCGCTTCCTCGAGGGCCACCGGCCTGCCATCACCGTGGTGCCCGTGCCCAAACTGGCGGCGCCTTCGTGGCTGTTCGAAATCGACGCCGTCCTCGCGCTGCCCGACCCGGCCCTGCCCCCCGTGCTCGGTGCCGTCCACGAGTCGGTCGATGTGATCGTCATTGGGGCGGGTCTCGCCGGTCTGTCCGCCGCCCACGATGTGCTCCGCGCCGGGGTGTCGTGCATTGTCCTCGAGGCGCGCGATCGCGTCGGCGGGAAGACGTGGAGTACGCCGCTGGCGGATGGCCGGGGCACGATAGACCTGGGCGCGGCCTGGATCAACGACACCAACCAGAGCAAGGTGTATGGACTCGCGCAGCGGTACGGGGTGGACCTCATTGTGCAGAACACGGAGGGCGATGCGGTGTTGCAGGACGTGGACGGCACCTGCACGCCGTTCCGGTACGGCGAGTTGCCGAATGTAAGCGTTCAGTTTCTGCTGTGCGTCGAGAGGGGTTCATCCCTCGGTGACTGGACCACCCGATCACTGACTGACCGCGCGCCGAATAGTTCCCCCCCGAAACCCAGGCCCATCTGGCCGCGATCCGTGATCTGTGCGAAGCGGACTGCCAGGCGCTCGACGCGTGGAGACCCCGGGATCCGGCCCTGGACCGCGTCACCTTCGAGGCGTACCTGCGCGCGCGGGGCGCCAGCGAGGTGGCCGTGGCGACGGCGCGGGTGTGGACGCGGGCCATGCTGGGCCAGGATCCGAACGACGTCTCCGCGCTCTACTTCCTGAACTACTGCAAGGCCGGGGGTGGGCTGCTGCAGATGCGCTCCGACCGCAAGCACGGCGGCCAGTACCTGCGGGTCCGCCAGGGCACGCAGGCGTTCGCCCTGGGGTTGGCCGCGTCGCTGCCGAGGGACACCGTGCGCCTCGCGCAGCCGGTCCACTCGATCGTCCAGACCGCGCATCAGCCGGTCAAGGTCCAAGCCGGGGGCGCCGTGTACGCCGCCCGGAAGGTGATCCTCACGGTCCCCACGCCGGCCATGAAGAAGATCGCCTTCTTCCCCGCGCTGCCCCCGGCGAAGCAGGCGTGGATCGAGTCCACGACCTACGGGTACTACACCAAAGCCATGGTGGAGTTCCGCTCGCCGTTCTGGGTGCGCGGCGGGTTCTGCGGGCTGGCGCAGTCCTTCTCGGGCCCCGCCAGCGTCGTCCGCGACAGCTGCAGCCCCGACGATGCCAAGTACGTTTTGACGTGCTTTATGTCCGGCGAGCCCGGCCGGGCCTGGGCCGCGCTGCCGGTCCCCGAGCAGGAGCGACAGTTACTGGACCAGCTGGCGAAACTGTTCCAGGTGGCGCGGGGGAATGTGGACGACGAGTTCGTCCAGATGACCAAGTACGAGTGGGCCCAGGACGAGTGGTCCGGCTGGGGCTGCCCCTGCACGTCGCTGACCCCGGGGGTCCTCGATACCCTGGGCCCCGATGCGCTGCGCGAGAGCTGCGGGGACTTGCACTTTGCTGGGACGGAGACGGCGGGCGAGTGGAAGGGCTACATGGAGGGCGCGATTCGGAGTGGGGAGCGCGCGGCGTCCGAGGTGGTCAAGGCGTTGCAGGCTGGTGTCACTGCTCGGCTGTGAGGGGGGTGATGATGAGGAGGAGGAGGAAGAGGAGGATTATGAGGTGATAGAGTGGTACAAAAAGAACGAGAATTGGAAAAATAAACCTTTGCTATGAATCTATTGTATAGTATATCTTCCGTGTCTCGTATCTCCTGTGTCTTGCCGATTACGGCAACCCAGTTGTCCTGTTCTTTTTCCTTGAACGGCATCAATCGATGCTGCTTGCTTTCTATCACAGGTATATGGTACAGAATTGTAGGAACCATGTGAACCATGTTTTTCTTGTGCAGTAAGCGTGTGGTGGGTCTTGCTCCTGCTGTCCTACTCGCTATTGCCTCCCAACTTCCTTAGGGTCGTTCGTCCGCGCTCGGAGCCGACATCGGCTCATCAGCATCAACTCTCCCTTCCGGTGAGTCGGACTTGGCCCAGTTGTCGAGCGGAAGCACTTATATTATATCCCATGGCTAGAAAAGCAGCGGATATGCAGATACTAATTGCTAATTTTATAATGCAAGGGGAGGAATAAATCAAATATGCAAATGATATGTGGCTAGCAGGCTGTCGCAGTCCCAGTATAACCTTTATTATTCGAAAGTCTATTATAATCGACACTTCAGTCATTTCGAAAATTCTAGGATAATTCCACTGGATCCTCTTATCTATGTATGCTGGACGAGCAAGAAAGAAACGGTTGAAGTATAAGAGACACAGCAGTCTCGCAGGAGGAGAAAGAGGTTGCAGTCATACGCAGCAGCTACTGCCATATTTCTTCTATCTCCACCCCTATTCGCCCCTGCAGAGCTCTCCGTTGGACTTCCATATCTCATACTCGAAGTCCGGCTGGAACTCCGTATAGAGCGTTTCCTGCGTGAAAGCGTGAGTAGGGGCCACCACTCGAGATTCTCTGGCGAGGAGATGACTTACCGCATCCGCATTCACTCGGGCCGTGAACTCGGCCTCTTTGTCCGCGATCAAGTTCTTGGGCAGGCCCGCGCTCTCCACCATGATCTGCACCTCGCACGAGCGCTCCATCAGCGTGAACAGGTACGCCGCCTCATCCACGGTGCGGCCCGTGGTCAACAGCCCATGGTTCTGGAGCACCAGGACGCGGCCGGTCTCGCCCAGGGCCGCGGCGATGCGCCCGCCCTCCGCGGCCCCGAGGACGACCCCGCCAAAGGCCCGGTAGACCGCCTGCGTGCCCCAGAAGTTGCAGGTGTCCTGGCTGAGGATGTCGAGGGGCCGCCCGAAGGTGGACCAGGCCTTGCCGGCCGGGGAGTGCGTGTGGCACGCGGCGTGGATGTCCGGGCGGGCGCGGTGGATGGCGCTGTGGATCAGGAAGCCCGCCGCGTTGACCGCCGTCTGGTTGCCGCCGATGACCTGTCCGGCCTCGTCGATGTGGACCATGTCACTGGCTTTCAGCATGCCGAAGTGCTTGCCCATGCTGGCGGAGTTGGGGAGAAGAGAGTTAGCGGCCTCTCTTGGGGGCAGGAGATTCAATGCGGTTTGAAGCGGCTTACGGATTGATCCAGAACGTCGACGGATCCACGGGATCGCGCACGCTGATGTGGCCGCTGGTGCCCTCGGTGAAGCCCTTGCGCGCGAACACCCGGAAGGCTCCCGCCATGTGCTCGAGTTGCCATTGTCGCTTCTGGTAGGGGTCGTCGATCTGCGGGATGCCCGGGAACTCGTAGCCCCCCGTCGCGAGGGCCGCCTGGGCTCCGGGGCTGGGTGCCACGGCGGCCACGGCGGTAGGGATGGATTGCGAGATCGTAGCCGTGGTAGTCATGCTGAATATCTAGGAGGAATAGAGACTGGGGTTGTTGCACCTTTCAGTCGGGGGGTGATACTGTGATAAGAAACATATGTGCGCGTCATCGGCATATCGGGATCAGCCTTTTAAATTGCGCAACCTGAATGGGGCTGATAAGCATGATCAACACCCTGTACTGGATGACTGACTGACTGACTGACTGACTGACTGACTGACTGACTGACTGACTGACTGACGTGCCTTTCTTCCACTGTTCACGGTCATTTGGAGTATCTCACGCCGACGGAGTTGGTTGCTTTCAGGGTTGCTTGCCACTTGGTGTGCTTGGTATGTACTGTACTGTACTGTACGTACTGTACGTACTGTACCTTACGGGGTGGTCTCGGCTAAGCTATTTACCCCGCCTATCTCTGCAGTCCCATTGGCCTCGCTGTGAGTTGCCTTTTCCCCACGCTGGAACGATATGAACGTATTATTGACAGACATTACTAATAAATCATACAAATCATAATATCATAATAATTATGATAATCATAATCAACTACCCCACCCATAGCTTCCCATGCAACTTCAATGAGATAACCTTATCATACCGTGATTACATCAGGACTTGTTTGTTGGTGTCCACGATTTGCAGGTCCCTGGCAGGTTTTGAAAGGAAAGCGATCTCGATTCTATTTGTATCATATCGAAGACTCGGAGAAAGATCTAAACAAAACTCAATCAGGGAAGCAGGAAACAAGCTTGATAACCGGATGGGTGAGCGAGGCGATAACTACTAGGTAGTATTGGTAGTACTACCTACTTGGTGAATCCCTAAGGTACTGTACTAACCTAACCCTAACTACTAGTTATATCCTCCGCAGCCCCACGCTCGACGCTCAGACTTGCCGTTTCTCTCTCCCCAGTGCAATTCTTCCCCTCGAATCTGCGCGTGCTGGGTTTGCTTGCCTTGCTTGACTTCCGTGGCTGGCCAACACATCCTCCTGGCTCATCGCTCCAGATGTCGGACCCGTTGAACCCACCCCGACCCCGAAAGCGCACCAAGACGTTCACCGGCTGCTGGACCTGCCGGGCGCGGAAGATCAAGTGTGATGAGGGAAAACCCTCGTGTCACCAGTGCTACCACAAGGGTCTCACCTGCGAGGGTTACTCCGCGCGGCTGCACTGGCTCACGCCCTTGACAGACCGGCAGGCGCTCCACTCGGAGGATCTATCGGTGGGGCCCATGAGCCAACCCCACCGACGTCTTCTCCCCGCAGGTGCGTGCAGGTGTCCTCCAGGCTGACTCGCTGGAACTCCCGCTGACGGTCTCTCATTGCCACGCGTGTGCCTCAGCGCCTCCCAAATCCCCGTTAGACTACGATCAAGTGGATGGCATCCTGCGGTATCTCGACTCGCTGGAGTTGGTGGTGCACTCGCGCACCGAGGAGGTCAGTGCAAGCATACAGAGCTTTGGCGTCTTCGGCTTCTCGCAGGCGTCATCCCTCCCCCCGGGAGATGGAGATGACCTCTCTCCCGTGGCCCCCTGTCTGCCCCAAGCATCTCCGTCAGCGGATGACGGCGGCGTGGCATTGGACCCGGGCGCGGATTCTCTGGGTCCCAACCCTTCAATGCAGGATTCCGGGGCAGATGCGGCCCTGAGCCTTTGTAATAGCTACGAGCAGCAACCAGTCTTGGACTCTTTGGACGAACAAGGAACGAGTGCCAACTCGGATCTTTCGGTTGTCTCTCCGAATGCATTTTCTCTCTCTCCAGATGCTTTCTCGGTCTCTCCATATGGCCCCTCACAGCCGCTGATTGCTCTCGGCGACAGCGTGCCCGACGGTGGGCAAGTGCAGGTGCCGGATCTCGAGCAGTTTGTGCTGGGAGACGTAAACCCCAGCTGTGCCAGCCAACGCTGCCCCGCCGACCCAGCGCCGCAGCATGCCCTGGAGTCGTTGGTAGTCCCCCGCCGCGAACGGCTCTTGATGCACCACTACCGGCACCGCGTCGTCAACCTATTCTGCGTGATCGACAACAGCAAAAGCCCGTGGAAGACCATCCACCTGCCCCGCGTCCTGCAGTGCGCGGGCGAGCTGAGCTTCGGGGGCACGACCACCCGCATCCGGGATGCGCTGCGGAAGTCCCTGCTCTCGATCAGTGCCTTCTACCTGTCCAACGACCACCGGGCCCACCACCGCCTCGCGGACGCCGAGCGCTGGGATACCCTCGCCTCGCGCTACCGGTGCGACGCGATCGGCATGCTGAAATACGCCGTCGAGACCGATCTCTACACCGACCAACGACCCAAGTACAAGGAATTCCTGGCCACGATGCTCTCGATGGTCACGATCAATGTGGGCGGAACACCTTCTTTCTCTTCTTCTTCTTCTTCTTCTTCTTCTTCTTTCTTCGCTCTTATCCTGCTGTGGTTGTTGCAGCTGTTCTTGTTGTGGCGATTGCTAACCTGCCTCACCTTCTGGAGGTCATGTCAGGGGATACGAGCACCTGTGGCGTGCACTTGGACGGGGCCGGGAAGCTCATCGCCCATATGAGCTCCCTCAAGTCCACGTTCTCCCGGAAAGCCCAGTCTCTCCATCGCATCTATCTGTACCTCCGCGTCATCTACGAGAGTACCGCCGTAAAATCCCCCCACAAGACGTCTCGCTTTGCTTCCTCCCTAGGCTCACCGGAAGCCCTAGGCCCCCAACCGGCCCTTCCCGGCGGGTCGGTCTACCTCGAAGAAGACGAAAGCCCTGCGTCCATGACACCCATGTTTGCCAGCGCTGCCAGCAGCCAGGGAGGCATGTCCGCCCACGAAAGTATCTACGGCATCCCGCAGAGCCTGCTGCTCCTGCTGAAGGAGGCGATCGAAGTGATCGACGAGTTGCAAAGCCGTGCCTCCACCGAGGCAGAGATGGGGAACCTGCCGGGCCCGCTGAGCCGGCGATGCGATCAGCTGGAACAGCAGATCATGGACTGGCCGCTCGAAACGCGCCGGACCCGGTGCCAGGGGCCCGACGGCGGCGGCATCAATGCCACGATCGTCTACCACCAGACGCGCGCGTTTCTGAACGCGCTGGTGATTTTCTTTGCGCAGGGCGTGCGGCGCATGAGCCACCGCTACCTGCGGCAGTACGTCCAGGCGATCCTGGAGAGCATCGAGGCCGTCGAGCGGCTCAAGGCCGAGACCAAGATCCTCGCCGCCCCGCTGTTCTGGCCGGCGTTCATCGGGGCCACGGAGGCGTTCGATCCCCTGCACCAGGACCGCTTCCGGCTGTGGTATGTCCGCGTGGAAGTGTATGGGATCGAAGCGGTGCGCACGGGCATCGAGGTGCTGCACGAGGTCTGGAGGCTGGGGCCCACGGATCCCCGGCATGTGCACGCCCGGTGGCGCGGGGTGGTCGAGGCGAGGAGCGACTGTCTCATGTTGACGTGACGAACGGAGAGAAGACGATTTGATATGATATCACGATGTTGGAACAGAACGAATGTATGCTTCCTATGTAGGGGATTGAGACTCATCCGTCAGGCCCCCGGGAAGACTGGCTGTAGGAATTGTACGAGAGTAATCATCTAGAGAGAGTAAGTTGGATTGGTCGTCTCACCTAAAGGAGAGGTTCAACGCCACCCATAGAATCTACCAGACACCGAGTACTCGTTCCTTCAGCTAATTTCCCGGGCCCCCCCCTGTCGCTCGCTCATCTCAGGGCTTTTCGCTGACACTTGCCCTGCCAGGAATCTTGCTGATGAACATGTTTATCCTTGATCGTAGTATACTAGACGTGCCGTGCGGGGGAAATATTCAGGTACGCTCATGCTCTCTGGGCGTGGTGGGCATGGTGTCGGGATCTGTACTCAATGCCAATCACCATCGGACACTATCCAACCAAGGAGATGCCAATGGTCCTTGGGACTTTCTATGCTACACTGATCAAGATGACCCAGTTCATAATTTTGAAACACAAATGTTCAAGTAACAAAGTAGGTAGGGTCGAGCCGTCTCCCCTCGGGGCAATTGCAGCAGCACGGATAACTACGGCGATCAACGCAACGGCACTATAAATGTTCTCACTCTGATATTCCCTTCTACAGCGCTTCTTTTTTGTTTTCCCTCGCCCGTTTATCCCTTTTCCATGCCTTGATTGACGGTATTAACGGTTAGGCTATGCGATGGCATCCGATTCCCGCTCCCAAGCATTCCCAAGTGGTGATCCCGCAATCTACGGAACCAGCCCTCAATTGCAACCTGGACGACCCATGGTTCGCCGTTTCGGCAGATAACCACGTCATGTCAATCTTCTGCAGCGTCATAGATGTAAGCTTAATTCAGCCTGAATCTGGCCCCGTCCCGAGCCCAGAGACAGAAGACCGTGACGTCCTCGAGAGGGCGTCTTTCTGTGGTTGTTCTCGACTGCCGAACCTTCCCGAGGCCGCAACGAGGCCGCTTCCACATACTAATTATCTGGGACCGCCGTACCAGTAAGTCAAACCAAGCATTGAGTTACAGAAGAGGTCTTGGAGTGCCGTGGGCCAGGAGTGCGGCGTGCAGCACACCACAGCCCCGCCATGTGATGCGTGACATGAATGATATCACTACTATATATCCCCCGACACGGACGGAAACCCCAGGGATTGAACCATCTACACATATCAATGAATTGATCCCCACCTCCCCATCTTGTTTTCATTGCCTCCCACATCGATCACTTTGATTCTCTTTCAAAGATAAACTCTTCACCATGGCACCCCGAATTGCTATCGTCTATGTATGGTGCCCCCTTCTTACTGAAGACTTCTCCCCCATCAACCGCACCCAACTAACCCCTGCACGATGAACTCTAGTACTCGATGTACGGACACATCGAGAAACTAGCCCAAGCCGAGCTCAAAGGCATCCAATCCGCCGGCGGCACCGCCGACCTCTACCAGTAAGCCAGCCCAAGCCTCGTCTCAAAACCACCACACTCCCCTCCTCACCCCCCCAATCCAACTAACGCACCCCCACCGTGAACAGAATCCGAGAAACCCTCCCCCCGGAAGTCCTAACCAAAATGCACGCGCCGCCCAAATCCTCCGTCCCGGTGCTCGAGAAACCCGAACAGCTGCTGGACTACGACGCGGCGCTCTTCGGCATCCCGACGCGGTACGGCAACTTCCCCGCGCAGTTCAAGGCCTTCTGGGACCGCACGGGTAGCATCTGGGCCACCGGCGGGTTCTTCGGGAAGTACGCGGGCCTCTTCGTGTCGACGGGCACGCTGGGCGGCGGCCAGGAGTCGACCGCCATCGCCGCGATGAGCACCCTCGCCCACCACGGGTTCCTGTACGTGCCGCTCGGCTACAAGACGGCGTTCCCGCTGCTGGCGAATCTGGAGGAGATCCATGGGGGGTCCGCGTGGGGGGCGGGGACTTTTGCGGTTCGTCTTTTTTTCTCTTTCGCATTAGGGTTGAATTGGGGAGGGGGGGGGGGGGGATAAGGTTTGAGATTGTGGTGCTGATGCTTTGATGCAATGTTAGGGCGCCGATGGCTCCCGCCAGCCGACGGCGCTGGAGCTCCAGATCGCCGAGATCCAGGGCAAGTCGTTCTACGAGCACCTCGCCCGGGTCAATTTCGCGTGACTACATGATAGTGCCACCAAGGCTGAGGACCCCGCGACGGCGGGGGGCCAGCAGCGAGATACGGCGAAGACGACGGGGCCGGAGAGGACGGTGCAGCAGGGTGGTGGTAGTGATGCGAATGCGCAGCCCGCTCAGCCGGCTAAGAAAGAGGGTCCATGCGGGTTACCCTCCAAGTGTACTATGATTTGAACACCTCCGTTGTAATGGTCTGGTCATAGCTCGTAGCGGGGATGGTCTATGCCTTGCGCGAGCTGTTCCACTTCCTTTATATGTTTAATAGGCGTTACGGTCTCGATAATACAGAACCAAACTGGAAAGAAAAGTTCCAAGAGAATGTGTTCATGATACCCAAAGTTGGAGCAATCTAGCCCACTACCGTTCTTATCATATACTCTACACGCCAGCGAGTGAGCCAACTCCGTCTCCATATCAAAGCAATCTTTCGCAGGCTATCATCTCAGCCAGTTCTGCCATTCTCCTGATACAGATCAAACTGCAGAGTAGCGAGAGAAGATCAGACCTAGATTATAAGTCTTTTTGTAGAGAGCATGGTATGGTTGACGACCTACCTCCTTTCTACCTAGATATGCCGAGAGTCGATTGACTTTGGGGTTTCTCTTCTTCAGCTAGGCAAGATGCCGTTGGTTATATGACATTTTGTGGCGGCCATGATTTAAGTAGCCATACTTCGAGCGTGAGGAATAGGTGATCACGTCTCTGCGCGACGGTCTCCATTGCGAGGTTCTTTCTAGGGACGATTGGCACGGGGTAAGTGGTGCTGTCGACGGACCTCCTACCGTAGAACATATTGAGTCAATTTCAGGTTGGCGGCGGTACTGTGGATGGGAACTACCATGGTATAACCGTTTATCATCGACGCGTTTGCGCATGAGAGAGAACACGGTGCTGCACTGTATCATGCCGGCGATATCGATTGCGGCGTTGAAGATCTGGAATTGCTTGGATGCCGAAGCCGGGCTGTCATCTGGCGTTGTACTTGGTTCTGTGATTGCAGGCCATCGAAGTCATGTCGCGAGGTCGGTTGCAACTCAGGAAACTGTAGCTCACTATGATTGCGCAAACCCAAATGTTCTTGGTGAGATATTCTCAGAAGTGTTTCTGCCCTCCAGCCAAGTCAGCCTGGGTGATCACTCACACAAGCAGTTCTCGTCATATACTCTTGACGATGCTCTGGGGAGAAACATCAATCACAGCGCAGTTGGGTCGACTTGGATAGGCCACCCATCATCTCCGGTGCTTCTGATATCTCGCCCAGCAGGTTCAACTGATGATTCATATCAGCTGAAAGACTTTCTCTGACACACCGTGCAAACCAAGGCGTGGCCTGATATCAAAATCCATCACCATTCACTCCAAAATTCGCTTAACGTGCCCAATCCGGCCGGTAATTTCCTTCGTGACATTCACTGATTCCCTACATCCTCACGGACTGGGCTATAAATATGACCTCTATCACCACCGATCCCCCTACTCTCCTTCTTTCTTTCTCACCACCTTCTCTTTCTCTCACCCTCCGTCTTCTCTCGTCTCGTCTCTCCTTCATCATCCCCATCCATCATCGACCCTCTTCCAGTCCTTTCCATCTGATAACACTCAGTCTTTCCTTCAAGATGCTCTCCTTCAGGTTCATACTCTTACTGTTCTTTGGTCTGAAGATACAGACTACCCTGGCTACCTCTTACGGTCTGGTCTCTGATGTTGTTACTCCTGGTGACGATGATCACGCGTCCCAGACCCCTGGAAATGGCGTCGTCACTGCGGATGCGGACTCTGGTGATGACACCGTCTCTGACAACGGTCTCGACGAGATGACTACTGGTGCCTCTTCTGTCGATACACTTCTGCACTCCAAGGCTGTAGGTCCCATGTCTCTGAGAACACACATGTATGGAGCTAATATCAATCAGAAGGGCTGCATCGGCAGCGTATGCTCCCCTTCGAACATGTGTCTCTGCAGGAACAAGAGCGGCGTCCGGGTGTATTGCTACTGCGAAAACCCAGGCCAGAAGTGCAGCTGCCGGCGTAACGTGCTGGCTTCCAGGGACGGGGTCGACGCTGATGCCAAGGATACCGTTGATGAGGGTGATGCAGTTTCTGATGTCGGTGCCGATGGTGCCGATGTCTCTGATGCGGTCACTGATACTGTCACTGATACTGTCTCTGATACTGTCTCTGATGCGGCCACTGATACTGTCCCCTCTGACGATACTCCCTCCGAAGACATCGACTCGTCCGACGAAGGCACCTCACCCACCAACACGCTCCTGAACAAAGGCGTAAGCCCCCCTCCCCCTATATCCCCAACCCGAAGTCACCAGCTAACACCCCCCAGAAACAGCAATGCCACGGCACGTGCAAAAAGTGCATCGGCAACTGCAAGGACAAGTACCAGTGCCTGTGCAAGGGACGCGACGTCGTCGCCCGGTGCGGATGCGAGCGACTCGGGGAGAAGTGCCAGTGCAAGGGTCCGTGGCGCGCGGTCCGGGATGGTCCCTCTGTCAACATCAACAGCACTACGGCCGATGAAGAGGCGAGTGCCACGCCCTCTACTGACGACGCCGACGCTGCAAGCGAGGACCTCGACGATGCAGCTCCTGGTGTTTCTCCTATCAGCGAGCTCGTAGAGCGCAAGCCTACAGTCAGTCTCTCCCCTGGCTATCCACGAAGGTCAATGCTAATGCTAATACGAATGGATTCCAGACCTGCCACGGCGTGATGTGCTCCAAGGAAGGCAAATGCCACTGCAAGCACGGAGCCTATCACATCGTCTGCCCCTGCCGCCGACTCGGCGCCCCCTGCTACTGCAAGAACTGGCGTCGCGATGAGGATGCCGCGGACCGTGTCGCCGAAGCGGCGGTTGCAGAGACAGCTGCCCCCGCCCCGGAGACTGCTGATACTGTTGACAACACCCCTGCCCCTGAAGACGAAGACGCAGAAGTATCCGAGCGACCTGGGTTCTCGCATGCCGTGAACGATGAGCTCTCCACTCTCCAGCGGGTACGTTCCCCTCCCCCTCCTTTCTTTCTGGAAAACAGACCACCACCAGACATAGTCAGATACTGATACAAAGCTCAAGCAGATTTGCTACGGCACCTGCAGCCGCAAGCACAATTGCAACTGCCGCGGCAAGACCTGTCGCTGCCAGATCCCCGGCGAGAGCTGCAAATGCGTCTTCCTTTTCCTGCCGCCCCGGGACCTGGAGCCTGGCGCTGGCAACGCCACCGGAACCATCACCACACTCCCTGCGGATGGGACTGAGGCTGCGGCCGAGGGGGATGGCACCGTCATCACTCCCACCCGCCCGGATGAAGACATCGATGAGGATACCCCCAACGAAGACACCGACGAGGACCGCACCACGTCCAACATCACCAACAACCCTCTCCACCCCGAGGAAGACGACCCCGAACCAGAAACAGAACCCACAAGCACCCCACTCCCCACCGAATCCTCCCCGCTCATCGCGCGCAGCGTGGTAAGCCCTAACTTCTTCATCTCTCCCCCATCTCCTCAACTTAACTTACCCGTACCACCATCTCACAATCTTCACTAACACAAAACAACGATACAGCCGTGCTGGGGCGTCTGCGACAAATACCGGCACTGCTACTGCGGCCACATCCGGACGACCTGCAACTGCTCCAAGCGCGGGCACCGGTGCTACTGCGGCTCGGGGGCTCTTGATCTGCCGCCGGGCATGGGTGGCGGGGTGACTTACTAGGGATGGATTCCCCCGTTACGCACCTCTGGTGCAGTCCTTCGGACATACCCTTGGACTAGACTTGGTCACTCCTTACACTTGGTCATGGTAAGTGAGAACCTTCGGTCTGGGTTTGAGGCAGAGATAGTTGATGCGGACGATGGACTACATGTACTGTACCGTACACACCTCTCGATCGATCGTCACCGTTCACGTCAGCAGTTAACTCCGTCGGGTTTCTGGCTTGGTCTCTTGATTATGATACGATAGGATAGGATGTGATAGGATATTCTGGCGGGCTTGGGATATGGCTTGGGGCTTGGGGGAATGGATGATCTGGGTGTGAGTGAATGGTGCTTCCTTGAACATGGTGACACGCTGTGGGTTTTGTCTGCGATTTGGACGTTGTGTTCTTTGTCTTTGTCATTGGGTGATCGTTGATGATCGGGGATACTTGAAATGGAATTGATGATGCCCTGCATTGTATGACGGAGTGCAATTTGATAGTAGATGAGGTCGTCCGACGGAGTCTGGCCTTGACTGCAGTGTGCTCGGCTTGACTCGGGCATGCTGGATGATACAACCCCGGTGATCCTCGTGCTACGTTTGCAGTCGTATCGGCTGGATGTTTCTTGAGCACGGCCATCATCACAGTGACCAACAACTGCCGGGAAGAACTAGTCGGCTCGTGTCAGACGTAGATAATTGTAGGTTGCCATGGCCGCTTGGCCGTGATGATCGAATTATAGCGCCGAAACTCCCCCTTTCCCATACCATAGAGTACACAAATTATAAAAAGTCGAACCCAAGAAAAAAAAAAAAACCAGGGATATTTTTGACAAACCCGCAAACATTGACAGAAAAAGAAACCCCAAAACCCGAGACGCTGGTCCGCCTGCATGCACACAACAACCCCCGGTCAATATGCCTCCGCCCCCCCAAAAAGGCGAGAACTTATCGTTCAGGAGATGCACATCACGACGGAACAGCCTCCACATCCCCGACCTCCACCTCCGTCGACTCCAGCGGCTCCGGCTCCGGCTCCAGCTCCGGCTCCAGCTCCGGTTGCACCTCCCCCTCGGCCGCCGGCGGATCCAGCTCCATCCCGGCCAGCAACGCGCCTTCCTGGCCGGCGATCGTGCGGAACAGCCCCAGCTCGGCCTCGACCACATCATCGAAGATGGCCTCCTTCTCCAGCCAGGCCTCCTTGCGCTTGCCCCGGATCTTCTCGCCGGCCGCGCGCAGCTGCTCGCCTTCCTGGCGCGCCCAGTGGAGCTGCCGCAGCAGCAGCCGGTACAGCTGGGGCCCCTCGAGCAGCAGCTCGTGCACGTCGAAGCCCTTCTCCGAGCCCACGGGCGGCACGGACAGGTCCTCCTCCGTCTCCTCGGTCGCGCTCTCGCCGTAGTCGGCGAACGGGTCCTCGGCCTTGGGCTGCGAGAGCTTCAGCTTGATGCGCTGCACCTTGCCCGCCGGCGTGCCCGTCGGGGTCGGCGCGGCCGACGAGGAGGCGGCGGCGGCGACCGCGGCCGCCGCGGCCAGCGTGGTGTGGTGTTTGGGGACGGGGTCCGACGGGCGGAGGGCCTCGGTCTCGTGGACGGTGCGCATGTGTTTGGCCAGGGCGTCGGAGCGGGTGAAACTGCGGTCACATTCTGGAGCACCCATCAATGAGTCAGTACCAATGCCATGCACAACGGGAAGGTAGGGGTCTGCGCGAGAGAAAAGATCACGAACCAGGCAGGGCGCAGTAGAACGGCTTCTCGCGGGTGTGACTCCGCATGTGGGCGCGCAACGCGTAGCCGCTGGCGTGCGTCTGGCCCTTCCGACTGCAGTCCGCCCACTCGCACGAGTACTTCTTCTGGCGGCTGCCGACGTGCTCGTCGTGGATGTGCTTGACCAGCCCGTCCATATTGCCCAAATCGCCGGCGTCGCAGCCGTCCCACCGGCACACGGTCACCTGGTCGTTGGCCTGGCCGCTGTAGTCGTCGTCGATGCTGCCGCCGATCAGCGCGTACGTGCCGGGCGAGTTGGGGATCTCGCCGGAGGTGTCGGAGGAGATGGAGGTCGAGGGCGAGGGCGGCGGGAGGTCGTCGGGAAAGGTGGTCGAGACCGGGGTCGCGCGGTCCCAGGAGGTGGCGCCGCCCGTGCGACGGCGTTTCGAGGGCGGCATGTTGGAGTTGGTGACGGAGCCGGACGGGGAGAAGGGCTGCTTGAGGTCGTCGCGGTCCGACATGTCCTCGTCGGAGGCGATGGAGGAGAGGGGGGAGCCCGGTGATTCTGTCATTGTGACAGGTTGGGATGTGGAGAGGGGTCAGGTGATAATTTCAAGTGTGATTCTGGCAATAGGGATGGGAGTGTATGCAGGAGGATGAGTGGTGGTGGTGGTGGTGGTGGTGGTGGTGGTGGTGGTGGTGAATGAGTTGCGATGGTTGTTGTTTGGAAGACGACGGAGGCCGGAGATTATGCGATCGCATCCACTCACGGTTGCTCGAGTATACCCAGGCGGCACGTGACCCGGGCATCGGCGGAGCATCAAAACCGGGCCTTCTCCTCCTCGGCTGCTCCTCTCCTCCTTCTCTCTTCTTTCCTCCCTCGTACTCGGTCAACTGCGCAGGCGGAGTGCACAGGACTGCAGCAAGCAGCCTTCCGGGATTTGAATAATAATGTTTTCAAGCCCAATCCACCTCTCGTCCCAGCTAACAAGTGTAAGTCTGGCTGTTGATCCTCCCTACCACCACACCACACAACCAAACAACCCAACAACCCCGATATGATGAGCAAAAATGAAGAATTCTGCAATTCGGACAGTCTCCTAATTCACTGTGAGATTGGATGTTGACTCTTCTACACTTGATCTGATCGATCGCCCGAACTTATTCTCGATTCTCGCTACTCGAGCACCCAAGCTCTGTCAACACAAAGCTGACTGACAACCCGCTTATCCAGGCAGTATCAAAACATCAAACCATCACTCCCAGCCAGAACAAACTCATGATCTATAATCCAAATACCATTGCTCGAATTGCAATCTCAAATTTTCATCCCACTCGTGTATATCACCATCGTAATCAGTCCCACTCGCCCCGCCCCTCCTATCACCACATCCCGCGCCAAATTGCCCGGATCCCTCTCCATCTCGGTTTCAGCGGGCAGTTGCCGCGGTGTAGTCAATCATAGACTCGAGTTGTTCTCGACCGCTCCTCTTCTAGTACCACTCTACACGAGATGCACTCGACGAGCTATGGCTCGAGCCAGTTCACTTCCGGTCATGTCATAAATAATCCCGAACAAGCCATGTCAAAACAATCATCAATGGTAGAGCAGATTGCCCCCACGATCCCATCATCGATCTGTCATCAGTAGGGCCGCACGCATCACAAAGCCACGCATCAAAAAATCAAAGCCACAGAACCAAGGCATCCAGAAGTAAAATACATCAGCCCCCAAGACGAACCCGTCTCGAGAATTCATCAAATCGTAAGTTCATCATCATATCATCGCACATCCTATACTCCATCACCAAACAGGTCTGATACCCTGTGCATCAAGCCCTCCTCCTTCCCACAGGCATTTAAGCGTACTGCGCCATGGGCACCCGTCCCGACCGTCCGGCCGACCGGGACCGCAGGCTCGGGGTGGACCCATACTCGGACGGGTGGTGCTCCTCGATCTCATCAGGGTACACGGTCCGCGGTTGGTGGTGATGGTCATAGCCCGCGTGGCTCTGCGCGCGCTGATGGCGACGTTCGCGCTTCTGCTCGCACTCCTCCCGCAACTTGTGGCGTTCCTTCCGGAGCTCGGCCGCATGTTTCCATTCTTCCGCGGCGCCTTTGATCCCCCAGGCGGCGACGCCCACGCTGGCGATATCGCCGAGGTTGGCTTTCAGGCGGCGGCGGCGGGCTTCCTCCGGGGTGATCTCGCCCTCGCGGAGCTGCTCGGCTCGTTTCTTGTGTTTTTCCATGTTTTCGTAGAGCTCATGGGCGGCGTGGATCGTGGCCACGGTCGCCAGGCCGGTCTTGACCAGCGTCTTGCGCGTTAGTTTCTTCTGGCGCTTCTCCTCATCGGTACTGCTACCTAAGTCAGAGTCACAATCCTCGGTGCTGTTGGAGCGGGGCTCATCCGGGGCACGGGTACGGCTATAGCCAGCTTCGTCGGCGTGAACAATTGGTCGACTCACATCTCTAGAATGCCGGGCGCGCCGTGGGCTTCGGTGACGGCGATACTCATAGTCGCTATAGTCGTCGGGGTAATCATCGCGGCGAGACGAGTGGCGGCCCTCTCGGTCCCGGCGGTCCCGGCTGTCCCGGCGGTGGTCCTTCTCGCTCAGGCCCAGCGCCTCCATCCCCTTGTGGATGTAGTCCGAAACGCTCTTGCTCCGCGGTCTCGGACGACGGTCCTCGTAGCTGTCCTGCGAGAGGGATCGACCCCGACTCCGGTCCCGGGGGCGGGACTTGGAGCGGAACCGATCGTACGCTTCCTTGCCAATCGCAGCTAAGGCGCCTGTGGCAGCAAGATTCTTTACGCCACTGTTGCTTTGGGAGCGGCCATGGTGCCGGCCGCGGGATCGGGAACGGGATCGGGACCCGTTCAGAAAATGGTTTGCGGCGAGCCCGGCCAGGGTCGATTCGACGACATGACGCTTCGAGTGCTTCTTGGGATCGCGGTCCACCAGTCCATCCGTGCCTCCGGCCGCGATGGCAGCGGTTAAGATCCGTTTCCCCTTGGCGCCGGTCCACTCCCCGGGATCCTTGCGGACGCGGAATGCCTCGATGGCTCCGGCGGTCAGAGCGGCCCGCATCGCCTGTGCGATACGTTGCTCGCTTTTCTCGCGCCGATGGCGACTCCGCGAGCGAGTCGGAGACGGCGAGTAGGAGTAGGATTTGCGGTCGCGGGCCTGCGAGCGGCCGCGCTCCCGATGTCTCGATCCCGACGACGCAAGGGAACCCAACCCGAGCGCCCCCAGGGCTTGCTCGGAGATGGACTTTCGTCGGCGCGGTGGGGGAGAACGACTGTCGGAGGGGGATCGGGAATATCTTCCCCGGTCATCTAGGTAAGGTCAGCACGTTTGTTGACTGGGTCTTGATTTCTATCGGCCGAGATGACTGGTATGAAAGAAAGATTGGCGGATATGTACGTACGTCGATCGTCATGGCGTCTAGATCGGCGATGTGAGGGCCGATAGTAGTCTGAGCCGCCGTCGTAAGGGTCGCGCGGATTCACGGAGTGGGAACGGCGCACACTTTCGTGGACGGTGGACGCGCGGGTGGGTTTTCCTTGCGGGGGAATCCCGTAGCCGTACTCGTAGCCATAATCGGCGGGGGGGTAGTCACGGTGAACGGCCTCGAAGGACTCGACACTGCCATCCCGGTGATGACGCACGACATCGGTTTGATGACGAGATGGGGGAGGATAGTAGTCGGGGTTATAGCCAGCCGAAGGGCGAGAAGAATATTGGCGCCCGTCGTAGTAGGCCATAGTCACAGACTGGTGAAGCGGGGGTTGGGTTGGTTGGAGGTTTGGATGGGTGGAGGGGTTCAAGATGAGCGATGATTAGCCTAAGCCATGCAGATAATGGTGAGTTGATGGTTGAAGAATGGATAGGACGATAGTGATGGACTGAGAGAAGAGGAAGGAAGAGAAGATGATAAAAGAGAGGGATGAGAGGAAGGATGGAAGAAAGAAACGAGATGATGATGGGTGGTAGTTAGTGGTAGTGGTAGTGGTAGTGGTAGTAGGTTAGTCGAGTTTCAGGCCTGTTCAGGCCTGTTCAGGCCAGTTCAGGCACTGACAGGCATTCACAGGCATTCACAGGCATTCACAGGCGCTTCCGGTCCCTTCATTGGATCTCTCAGTCTAGCAGTGGCGACCGGCACGGCTCAGGGCTCCAGTGGCTGGCTTGCATTTCACCAAAAGAGATCCCAATCCCAATCCCAATCCCTCAGTGACGTCGTCATCCAGTCTACCCCTCCGTGACTTGTGCAAAGGCTAGAACATCCACCACTCACTCAGGTACCATCCAGGTCCCTGCTGTTTTCTTCCTTCTTCCTCTGATTGAGGCAATCCTTGTTGTCATTGTCAACAAGTCTCTCATTGTTTGTTTCTGCTGCAGTGCAGTACCGCAGTCAGTCGGGCAACCCTGCCTCCACTCCAGGCGATTATTGTGAAACAAATCCCCTCGGTGGGGGATGGGGCTCGGCTATTGGTGAGGCGAGAGCATTCCATTCCCCTCTCTCCCCCCCATGATCCCCCATGATGAAAGGCGTGTCACCATCCATCCAGCCGATTGTCTTCTTGTGCTTCGGCTCATACGCTCTCCGTGCGCAGCCCAGCGAAACTGACATCATCGTCGGCATGAGTCAGTCAAAAGTCTACCCAGGCTACGGCCATCATCCTGGTCAAGAATGAGGTCGATGGTCCAGCATCCACGTAGAACCAACAACCTATGGCCGTCGACAAGGATAGAAGTATAGAAGGTTTACTCGCTTGTAGATAGATAGAAGTGGTCCCTTCCCGGTGGCTGTTCCAGACTTGCACGCCTTCTGTTTTGTTCCCCGGCTTTTCCGTCCCCGCCCGTTCCGTGGTTCCAATCCATCCCTTACTGCAGACACCATACCACGTACATACATACTCCTACTTCACACTACGTGAGTTCGATATGCGATGCGGACACTGGAAGAGAACATTTACTCTGAAGTATATAAGCAAAACACACTGATCATATCATTGTAGATCTTCAAATGGATATCATCGCATTCAGAACCTCCATCTTGACGTTTCGGTCATGCAGTAGTGACCCGTCAATTCCGCGTAGCTCTCACACATACATAATCAATGAAAACACTTATTGTACAGTACAAAACACCTCCACTGCCCTTTTTTTGGTGAGCCCTTCCCCGGGCAGAAACTCCAGAAAAAAAAAAAACAAAAAACAGACGAGGTATTCATGGCAGACAAGAGAAACATAATCAAACACGCTTGAGAACACCATGCGAACCAACAACAGAATCGGTCGCATATGCAAGTGAGTAATCACAGATGAAACATCAACATGCACAAGAAGACAATTGAAGAAAGGAAATCGAGGCAGGAAATGCATGGAGAGAAAATGAAGAGAAAATGCAGGCGGCTCTCCGTACCGTCTATACACAATAGAACAGAGGAACAGAAGAACGAGTGGACCAAGTCCAAATCGTCCACAGAAAAAAAATGGAACAAGGTCTATCTTGCAATCGCAGTTCGTCCAGCTCGGACGATGCACAAATTGGGAAACTCCCATGTCGAAGGGGTATGCTTGAGGGAACCGCACAGCGGTCACCCTCAGGGCAGGTCATGCCCGCACATCAAGGTCAATTGGCCATGGATACGGGTAATGATTGGAAAGAAGGAGAGGAGAAGGAAAAAGAGAAGGTGAAGAACAAGAAAGACGTCTTAGTTCTCTCATCATACTCGTGGTGGCATGGCATCGTAAGAGGATTTCTCCCGCTGGGCCTGGCTGGTCGACCGTTGGTGGGCGTAAGTGGAGGACGCGGTGCTTCTCCGGGTCGACCAGCTGCTGCTCCCATCGCTGTCCCGGTCGGCAGCCATCCCCGTGGGCATCTCTTCGGAGTGGGTGCGGTGCGTCCGGATATGCTGCTTCATGTTGTCCTTGCGGGTGAAGGCCTTGTTGCAGATCGGGCAATGGACGCTCTTCTCCCCGGTGTGCTTCTTGCCGTGGCGGGCGGCATGACCCGAGGTGGTGAAGGTTGCGGTGCAGCCATGACTGGCAGCAAAAGGGCAAGGGTACTTGTTCTTCCGCACTCCCGATTTCGCAGCCATGCTTTCCTTGGTCGTGCTTCCGATCGACGGCTGCGGGGACGGAGGCTCGACCACCGAGCTCCCACTGATCCGCTTCTCTGCCACGGGCCGGTAGCCATGAGCTTCTTGCCGACTGAGGTGATAATGCGATCGAACGCTGGCGCCGCTGCTCATATAGTCGTAGGAACAGTCGGAAGAACCGGGAGACGTGGGCTGCGTGGGTTCAGACACGGGTTCGTAAGGATGGCGTGCCAAAGCGGGGGATACCGATGGCGAGTTCGTGTAGGCATGGTGGTGATGGTGGTGATAGCGGAAGTCAGGGGTTAACGTCCGTGTCGTCGTTGGTTGGGGCTCATAGTGGTAAGAGGAATATGAAGAGGTGGAGTTTTGTCGAGAGATTCCCGGGGCAGACCGCACAGTGAAGGCCGGGTTGTCGTCGTTGTTCAGGATCGACACAAAGCTTGCTTGACAACTAGCCATCTTGTCCACAATATGCAATCGATCTGTTCGAGGCATGATTAGTTCTGAGTTCAGTCCCTCTGCCATCAATCGCTTTGTCGGTCTTATCTAAGCTATCTATCTGTGCTTCGGAGGTCCGACTCCCGTCGACCATGTATCTCCGCGATTCGTCCACCAGACCAACAACCCTCTGTAAAGAGAACCAAAACTCAAGGGATCGGAAGACATATGTAAAGCAAGTTCAGGGAGGTAAGAGATCCAAAGTACGTACCGAGTGTAGTGAGGAGGATGTTTGCTCTGTCGGAATCAGTTCGTGTAACGAGGACCCCCTCGATCTGTAGGAAAGACCCCTGGAGAGCGCTAGGATGGAAGATGCAAGACACCCAGTTAGCTCGTTGCTGGACCGTCCGTCTTTTGTCGGATAGGAGAAATTTCGCTGTTCCCCACGGATGTGACTGAGACAACGAGACAATCACCCGATGTCGATCACTTCGAGGGCTGTCGATACGCGGGGTCCACCGGCTACTGGAGGAATAGGGCAAATAAAACAGTAATTACAATTCAGCCCAGTCGGTTTGGCAGGGCTCGGAGATAATCCCAACAGGCACAGAGAATGACGGAATGACCCTCGAGACACGCCCACAAAAACAATTTGCCCGGCGAGACGGTGGTTGATGTTCGGTCTGTGATCTGACCGTGGTTGGATGTAGATACAGGGAGGGCGATAAGAGCGGATAGAGGAGGATCGGCCGAAAGTGGGAAAGTTGCAGAGCAATGAAGGATAGACAAGGCCTGAGGTGTCGCAGGACAAGAGGGAGAGGAGGAGTATGGGAGAGGAGGAGTATGGGAGTTGAGGTTTAGTGTGAGTCGCTGATATCAAATTTGGAAATTAGGGAAAGGATGTCGAATGAGACGGGGCAGACCAAGAATATTAAAAGGCGAGAGAGCGAGAAGGAGTGTGGGAGGAGAAGTGGAGGGTGGGCACAAGAGGTGACGAACGGTCGAACCAGCGACTTTCGTCTTTTCGTCGCAGTAAAAGAAGCATCTTGAAACCCGTCCAGGGTCTCTCCAGAAGCTCTGGCCATGTCCAGAGTCCGTCAGTTGAGTTAACTCACTAGTGGACTAGTTCATAGTGGGTGGGAAAATGGAATGGAATAATGGATAATGGATTCATGGATAATGTCCACGACGCTAGTTCGTCGGGGTGGAGTACAAAATAGGCATCATCATTTATGGTAACTGTTATGGGAGAAGAAAAACAAAAAAGATAATAAAATAAAAACCAAGAATTACAAAAAAGAAGGCAGAAAAACAAGACGGAAAGGAAAAGGGTAAAAAAAAAAAAAGAAAAAAAAAAAAAGAATTCTCGGTTTGGTTCCTCGTTGGGTGAGCCAGAGAGCCAGAGAGCCAGAGAGCCAGAGAAGAGAAACGGACTCTTGGGAAGACCCTAACTGGAGAACAGCCACAGGGTCTATGCCAATAGAGTCCTCCCGCTTCTTGAGCCGACCAGATTAGATGGGGTTTAATTTCCCATTTGTCTCTCCTTGTCCTTTGCTTTCTTCTTGTCTTTCCATGCTACCTCCGTGATCCGTACCTCAGTACTCAGTGCGAGCACAAAAGAATAATCAGGTCTCAGTCCGGATATGCAAGTTTCCATTCATTCATGAATTCTTTCGTTTCGTTTCCTTTCCTTTTCCTTTCCTCATTGCCCCTCCGATAAAGCCGAAGTGCATAATCATTTCGGCACTAGTTCTACCCGCTGTCCGCACAACCCCCTTAGTCAGTCAGTCAGTCAGTCATCCAACCCCAACCCCAACCCCAACCCCAAGAAAAAGGTTTCAATCTTCTCAATAGCCACGCAGATGGAACCAGTCGAGAGTGAGTGTGGTGTGGTAGTGTGGCTCGGCTCCTGTCATCGTAATGTTAGTAATGTTACTGGTAATAATAGTAAGAAGTAAAACATCAGGAACGGGGCTTGTTTTCCCATTGCTGCATTGGGATCTTGTAACGACCAAAAGGACGACTACTCAAGCTTAGCTCCGAGGTGACCTCGTCATCCAGAGGGGGGAGTCCGTCAGCTAAAAAAGGGCCGATGGCCCCCTTTCAGGGCCCAATAGCCCCTCTTCTTCCCACCGAGGCTTGGATCTAAACTACCTAGATCCCTGGCTGGTACGTGTCCCTGTCGTCAGCTAAACGGGCGGAGGAGAGCGAGCAGTGGTAACTTGTAAGCGCATTGTTCCCGCACTGTGTCAGCCATCGTGTCAATCGGCTGTGGTTTACAATCAGATCGAGTCTACAAGGAGTGAAGAATGCCAAAGAGTGCAGACGGTCGAATGTCGACCGACATTATCTGAGTGTGTGTGTGGAACCCAATTGCTGAGCTAAACACGACAATCAAGAGGATGTCTCGGCCGCTGTTGTCAGTTCAGGTTATCGGCACTAAGACCAGCCAGATGCAAACATAAACTT